GTATTGTCTTGATGAATGGATTGTGCCTAGTGGAAAAGTTCGTAAAAATTGTTTTACGGCAAACGTTTTGAACTATTCTTGACACCGACTACAGACAAAATATGATGTGCTGTCGGATCATCACAGACAAACTTTAGTCAAGGATTTGGAGAAAATTTACAAGTGACTTCCATATGTTGAAGTTATAATAGGACGTGCTTTTCGTTAAGGGCATTTTAGATAGTGTGTTCCCCTGGCAATCCATGAGGACGTCTGCCTGATTCCACTGATTTTTTTAATGCTTCTGCCTGAATCTAGTATGACTTTCAAGGCCAGTAAGGTTGCGAATTGAGCGAGGCCATCTTTGTCTGGAAGGTCATGCTTTTCGTGTAAACGACTGTGGCCAGAATCGTGCGGTTTTTTTCAAACATGTACATGGCTCGGATTTGGCTGGAAGTGCTGGTGAGACGGTCGGTTGAAGTGTGAACTGGAGTTGGGACTGCACGAAAGCTGGCTGTTAAGTTCACTGCAAGATTAAGTCTTCCCTTCACTTCATCCTAGGCATAATCTCAATAAACCCCTCATACGGAAATATAAAATATTTGTAGGATACTCTATCTAATCTAGGCATTCACTGCGTCATACATACTAAGGGCTTGTCTTCATACCAAATGGAGATTCAACAGTTCGTCGGCATGTTAACAGCAACATCGGACTTGTGTTCCGAAGCTAAAAAAGCCGCCCTCAAGCCACTGTTCTAACCCTACCTCTCAGAAAAAAACACTTTAAAAAAATGAGGTAGCCTGTTAAAATTTCATCTGCTAAGAATAATTTATTTTTAAAGAGTCTCTTGGCCTAAAATCGTGAATGTGTCTGATGAGGAGGTTCGTACAGGTCGATGTTACCAGAAGAAAACGGCGATTCCCGCAACCAGGTATCGTTTGGTCTTCTGGCATATTCTGTTTGAAGCTGGTCTCGCAGCTTCTTTAGACTCCGGTGAAGACATGCTGGGCTTGAAGCCATCACTTTTTATATCGTATCCATTCGTACACATGAACCCACATGTGTTCACGTAGGCCTACAAGTATGCTTTCACAATGACACATGTCATGAACTAACCACATTACTCCGTACCTCATCAAAATGCATAGACTTTGAGCTTGAAGGGGCAAGTCCATCAGCATAAAGTCGACTTGCATGACAGGCGAAAGTTCGGCACATCTTCGTCAGAACCGAAAAGAGCATGTCTCGAAGACAGCCTCACTCAGCAGACCCAAACCACCAGGCAAGATCGACCTAGAACAATCTCTTCATCAGATACACTTCCACTCAAAATGGCGGTGAGCCTAACAGCAGTTCAGTAACAATACTTAGTCTCTTTCAATCACCCACTTTTTCCTTCGAGGTACGACATTGCCCGTGTCCTCACATTGATGTCGTCAACCAAGAAAAGGTCAATGGTGTTCCTCGTTCTATTATGCATTGTCGCACTTGTGAAAAAACCGCTACCTCAAACTTGTTTGTGTATTGGACTTCTTAAAAGCCTTTGATAAATCAATCGGTCCACACCCCAGTCAAACCAGTGATTGGAGATTTAGAAAAAGAGCTCTAAAGATGCTTACATTGTGCCAACTTCTCAAAAGCAAGGGTTACATCTCCTGTTGATTCTTCTTCCTCCATTATCAGACCCCTCCCCCGGAGGGCTATTCACGTCTTTGGCAGATCTGACAGAATCGGCATACCAATTGAAGGGCCTCAACTACGCCACATGGCTGGACTAAGCAGGGTGGCCCCCGCAATGGCGATTTAGAATTAGGTTATTTTTGGTGCATAAATCGAGAATGACAGTGGTCAACTTTAGAAAAGCAGATGCCACTGGCGTCGATTCGTATGAGGGGGCGCGGGAGGGGTTCAGCATCGTTTTCATACTTAATCGACCTACGAATCTGTTAGATAAACATTTTCACTCGAAATTTAAGTAAGCTCTGATATTTTGCGGTTAGAAATATCTTTGCTTCACCACCATTTGGACAGAGGTGAGGTCAAAAGTTCAGTTGACTCGGGAGATCTGAACAGCCTTTTAGGATACATGAGAAGTCCAACCCTTCAGTTTAGTCTTCTGGTGGGATTTACCCACTCGAATCCATTCAATAGGCACAACTTTACAAAAAACTTCCTACATACATAATATTAGGTTATTTGTAGCTGGTTGGATTGCAAATAGCCCTCCATTTTGGCAAAGGGTTTTTCGTGAACGATGTTTGCTGCCGATAGAAAGACAAAAGCCTGGCATGTGCTCTTTTAGTTCGAAAGAGCCTGTCCCGAGGACTGCTACCCTCAACT